AAAAAGGTATCACGTATAGAAAGCATGCCTATAGGGATTTCGAAACCAAAATTGTCTCACTTATTCAAAACAGTGTTGATTTTCTTAAAACAACGACTTTTCTTTCTAAACCTACTCGCATGAACTCTGGTAAACATTTTCCAACCGATCTGCATTCTGGAACTCGTTTAGTTGTTAAACCACGTACCCTTTTCTGAAACTTTTTGTTACTTTGATATTTTCTTTTAAAATCAGCTTGTGTTTTAAAATCAGTAGTTCTATCCAACACATAGACAAAAAGGTTTAACTAATCAACTGGATCAGTCTTAGACAACTGCATTCGAGTAAGCCTAATGTAGACTTCCTGTCCAAAAATATGTGTTGAACCAGTCCGCTTATCGCTTTAATTTAATTTAAGACTAAACCAGTACGTGCAAGACATGCTAAACTCTATGGCTTTATCTGATCTTAGGAGGCTTATGTGAGCCCTACTTGCTTATTTGCTTTCCCCTCTACTTGCATTATGTGCTTTGATTGACGTCTTAGTATTTTGTCCTTTGAAAACTCTCCAAAAGGCCGCAAACCCCTCTCCCATTAGGACTAGTTAGTCCAAATGCCTCCGGGACTGATAGGATTGGGACGGGTACTAGCATGCAATAAGTAACGAGACATCCCGCGCTTTAATACCTTAATGGGGTGGGAAGGGTAGATATGGATATGATGACCACGCGATAACACCACGTGTATAAACGGTTACCGGGTATTGTGTGGGGTGATCCATATTATTTATTGATGTTCTAAATGTCAATACCACACAAGAAGGGGGGTGATTTGTGTGGTACCCAATTTTCGCTCTAGAAGAACCTGGTTCTTCTAGGTGTACTAACTACTGCTGTTTGCGGAATAATAAATACAGAAAATAAAGAACACAGAGATTTTTACGTGGAAAACACCTGGCTCAAAAGGTGAAAAAACCACGACCTACTACTCAGTAGGATTTTCCCAAACTTCCACTAAAATCACTGAGCGAAAACAGCATTTACAAAACTCTTGTAAACCTAAGGATTAACTCTAATCCCGTTGTGGCAACCAGCCTCTAACTGCTGCGACAACTTCAAGTTAACTCTAACTTGAATACTCAATATACCTATTACAATTGCTTCTAGATAAAGCTGAAAGGTACAATATGAAACACCTACTACAATTGAACTAGAAAAAAGAAAGACACATAAAACTCTTTATGGAGCTGGTTCTTCAATCTAGTTCATGTAGCTTCTAGTTTGCACACTTGAATCACACACGAACTGCTTGCAAAAAGCCTTGCTATTTTGCTCCCAATTCAGGTTTTACTTCTGCATTTTTGTGCAACCAATTTAATTTGAGAACATCCTGCAATTTATAGAGTTAGTAGATGAAGAAATAACTAGAGTTCTGATGCAACTCTTCCTTGGTGGAAGAGTTCTAGTTGATTTCAACTTCTAACTCCTTCCCTATCTTGGATAGTTTTCTCTTTTAAGGACTCCTTCTCCTTATCAATTATGCAATCTTTTCGATCAGGAGATATTAAATACACCAAGTTAAGCTTATCTCCTTCACTTGCATCCCACATGCTTGAATCTACCCGTTTTTGTGAACCTGAGGGATGGACCACTGGATGGACCTGGTTCATGTCTGAGTTCCTTTGTCAGTCTTCAAAACTAACCTTTACTTGGGCCAACAAATTTCCCCTTTTTGATGATGACAAACACTGTGCTTTTCATACACTTAGGCCCTGCCAGAACTCAGCTCAAACATCAACTCAATGTTAGAAATATTTTTCCTTTATATCACTTATCATCAAGGACCAGGTACATTAGGTTATAAACATCACTGTTCAAAGTGTAAACATCACTTGTTTAAATCACAACCTTTTTTTCCCCTTTTGGCATCATCGAAAAGTTGCATAAAAAATATGAGATAACCAGATTTTAAAACGTACTCATGGCCACTGGGGCTACTTCAAATGCAATCATGAATTAATCATTATAGATC